TATATAGATATCTTGTAAACGTTGCTTCAGCTGAGTAGTAATTGTGTCTATGTGATATGACTTCGGGTTAAGCCATATGTGCCCAAAACCATTGAGGTTCAGAATGTCTTTCACATGTATAATCCAATCATGTTCTCCAAGCAAGGTAGTATTGTATGCCTCCCGAAGCAGGGCATCTTCGGATAAATTAACTAAGCGATGCCAGTATTTAACGAGTTGTATTTCTGTATTCACCGTAACTGGGAAAGTTCCCAATTCTCCTCTGACACCGTCGTTTGGGGCCTTGGCATGTACGCCTAACAAAAACTTCTGAAAACGCATGTCAATAGTGTCGAATTCTGGAATGTGTTGATTTGAATGTAGGTTTATAATTTGGAAGCCATTCTCTTGTAAAACTTTGCTATTGACATGTCGCATTAGCATTTCTTTATCAGTATTTCTTTCTAAGCAAACAATATAAGTATTATTTGTGGCAGAGGATAGGAAAGGCACTTTCCATGACTTTCCTCACTCCACCCAGGTGTGAATGGGTACCTAACTTGGTTAGGGAAAAGTCGTATTGAGGTCACCTTGTGGCGCCGAATGGAGCCGCACAGACCTTTACAACTATTCCACAAAAATATGTGGAGCAAATTTGTGTATCATGTGTATTATTTGATTGTGATTATTGATTGATTATTATGTGATTGTAACCCCATTGTAAACCCCGCATCAATGCATTCAGCCGTATAAAGGCTACGACTGCACGGGTACTGTTTGACCAATATACCATTAAAAATGTGAAGTAAAAATGTACCTTTAATGCATGCTTCATTACATGTAAGCAGAGAGGTTTAAAATCAGCTTGATGTCAGGTATATAATTATGTCAGTTATAAATTTTTCTCACTAATTCAGATACCAAATCTAGTGCAGCTCGTTTAAAAATGCCTGTCAATTGACCGTTAAGCGTTGCCGACCGTTCTGAATTTACCGTTAAGCGTTGTTTGCCCTGCTGAATTAACCGTTAACCATTGCCAGGACCACGCCAAGAAAAATGGAGGAGTGACTCTAGATGTGGCTCCAGCTATCCGGCACCAGGAGCCAACCCCGGCCAGTGTAACCCGGATTCAAACCACCCCTGTTGTTCCTCCGGTGGTTGGTGTGGAAATACTGCGGCTCACTGCACCTGTAGCGGCTGTATTGATTATCGTAAGTATTTCCCTACTTCAATTTTTAGCTTCATCAAAAACAAAATATGTTCTGAAGTATGAAATATATTCACTAAGATATGTCAAGTTCGGTATCAGAAAAAGTTTTTATTTTGTTTTAATCTCTTTCATATATTTTACCAATTCATGCCTGTTATTCTAGGACCAAAAAAATGGAGGAGTGACTCTAGATGTGGCTCCAGCTATCCGGCACCAGGAGCCAACCCCGGCCAGTGTAACCCGAATGGAAACCACCCCTGTTGTTCCACCGGTGGTTGGTGTGGAAATACTGCGGCTCACTGCACCTGTAGCGGCTGTATTGATTATCGTAAGTATTTCCCTAGTTCAATTTTTAGCTTTATCAAAAATATATTCTGAAGTATGAAATATATATATTCACTAAGATATGTCAAGTTCGGTATCAGAAAAAGTTTTTATTTTGTTTTAATCTCTTTCATATATTTTACCAATTCATGCCTGTTATTCTAGGACCAAAAAAATGGAGGGATGACTGGAAATGTGGCCCCAACTTTCCGGCCCCAGGAGCCAACCCCGGCCAGTGTGATCCGAATGGAAGCGGCCCCTGTTGTTCCTCCGGTGGTTGGTGTGGAAGTACTTCGGCTCACTGCACCTGTAGCGGCTGTATTGATTATCGTAAGTATTTCCCTGGTTCAATTTTTAGATTTATCAAAAATATAGGGATTTTGGGCTATTTTTGGACTAAAAATGACATTTTTAGTCCAAAAAATAGCCCAAAATGACATTTTTAGTCCAAAGAATAGCCCAACATTCCTATTTTTCACAATTTTTAAAGTAGTGTATGTCAAAAGCTTGAATGAGGTTTTGCAGACATATGCCCAACGTATATAACGTTATGCCCATACCAAATTGTTTTTGTTTTTGCTTTTCTGCCTGAAAATGGCAAAAACAAAACAAAACAAATCAAAACAATTTGTACATTTTTGGCTAAGGTGCCCCAATATTAAATCCGTATGATCTGAAATTTGGTATGGGGATACCTTGGACACATGTTCAAAGAATGTCATTCATGCTTTTTTCATACACCACACTGAAATTGTGTAAGATAGGGCTTTTTGGCTATTTCTGGACCAAAAATGTATATTTTTGTCTCCTGTGCCCTAATATTTGAACCCAAAGCCCTGAAATTTGGCATAGGAGATCATTGAATACAAGCCCACAGAATGTTATTTATGCTTTTGGCATGTGACACTTAAAAGTATGTAATGTAAAATGGGCCAATTTTTGCTATTTTTGACCAAAAATGTACATTTTTGGCTCCTGTGCGCTAATTCAAAAACCAAATAACCCGAAATTCAGCAGAAGTGCAGCTTGGCACCAAATGCTTAGACTTATAGTGTTCACTATTCAGATTCAGCCTTTAAAATACTTTTATTTACCTTACTTTCAGTAAAAAAAACAGTGATTGTAGTTTGAAAGCCCAAATCCCCAACTGACAGTTCTAAATAGAACACCCGGCTTCTAATAGGGTTCTACATGTTCCAACAGCAGAATGCATTGGAAAATTCCATTGCTGCATGGGGGCAGGGTATAGACTATTGGAACACTTCATATTTTGGACAGTCCATTTGTGCGGAAGGGGGATAGGCCTAGGTCCATTTTTGGTACGGGGGATGTGGTGAAGCCATCTGCTGTATTTGCTCCCGAGGAAATGTCGGCCTTTCTAGTTTAAATCTCTTCCATATATTTTACCAATTCGTGCCTGTTATTCTAGGACCAAAAAAATGGAGGGATGACTGGAAATGTGGCCCCAACTTTCCGGCCCCAGGAGCCAACCCCGGCCAGTGTAACCCGAATGGAAGCGGCCCCTGTTGTTCCTCCGGTGGTTGGTGTGGAAGTACTTCGGCTCACTGCACCTGTAGCGGCTGTATTGACTATCGGTCAGGTAAGACCAAATAAAGGCTTCATTGATAAGTCACTTGATTTAGCATGCATGCTAAGATGGTGCTACCCGATTTAAATTTTTTAAAATTTGCCACAATCTCTCTTTCGTTGTTGCTTTGTAACCGAACATCTCACGGAATTAGTTCGCTTCCACTATCAAAATACAATAATTGATGCTATGTTCCTTTGGAACAGACATACCAATATCACTTTGCATAATAAGTATTTCAAGTTTTTTTTTATTTCCTCTTGTTTCAGGTCGAAAGTAAAGGGATGACCTTAACGAACGTTCATTTTGACTGAAACAGGCGTATTGAAGACGGAAAGGCCATTAACTGAAGTTTGTTTTTATCTTGTGTATTTGTTTTTATGTAGCTCAAATGTGTTACAGTACCCATACCTTGTTGTTTCAGTAGAGTACGGATGGTGTATGGTCTGCTATCATAAAACCCCAGTAGTGTCAAATGGCAGTGTAGAAATAAGGTATTCTAAAAGTCAGCAAAATATCACACCCGTAGTTGAACAGACCCTTTTGATTGTGGATTTATTTGCCCGGAATAGCTTTAAAAAATGAATAGCACTGGCAAGAATAAGTATATCAGGGGTGCTATCATTATTCATGATTTGTATCCTGTATACGCGAATTCCTTCTCTTTCAGCACGTAGAAGGTGTTTTAGATTGTATTCTGTAGCAATTTAGAGAACAGTCACTTGTTCTACTTGTATGTATGTTGTGTGTGTGTCATTTTGAGGTTAGCCCTCGGGCATGAATTTGCGACTATACTTTATTATTATTATTTACATGAAAATAAAGGTGTTAGCAGTAGTATCTCGTACTAGTACGATGGAGATGATTACATCGTTTAATAAACATGACAACATAACAGACAAATTACGTCTCAGAGCAGCAACTATAGGCTGGAAAAATGACATCTTTTCCCACTCAGTCTCACTGATCTGCAAAACACCTGCAGCTTTCATCAAGTGAGAGCATACAACGTGCACACATGGATTTATCAAGAATAGACCTACTAGCAGAATATTGTACTACAAACATTGCGTAAACAAATTGTACGCAGAACCAGTGATAATTATGAGACGGTCACCGTGCTGCTGTTTGTTTATATGTTGCACTGATGGTATCCTCAAATATCTCCTAATAAGTAATGTTAGAGTACAACAAATCAAGATGCATAATTTAGAAATGAATGAAGATTACGTTAATGTGTTTCAGAAAATATTATACAAACTTTTATTCTGGGACAAGGGAATTCTACATTAAGGTAAAATATGACGTTAAAGCGTTTCTTTGATTTTGTTAATTTTCTGTCGGCGGTGTGGTATGTTAAAATAAGCTCACTAAGAAAAATTTGTCACCTCTGCATAATTAGTAGTTAATTTCGAGTCCTACAGTGCAGCCTAGAATTTGTCTTCGTGGCTTTAAGGTCAAAGGAAATATCTATTCTTACAAGACAAAATTTATGTTCACCGCATCTCGTAGCACACGTCTACAACCTGCATATAGTGCCACAGCCTACATGATGTACTCTCCACGCAGAGGTAGGGTCGCTCGGTATTTTGGCAGTATTTTCGCGTTTTTAATACGTCTTTCTACTTTTACGGTTTTTCTCTGGTCTTCCTCCAGAGAAAAACCGTAAAAGTAGAAAGACGTATAAAAAATACTGCCAAAATACCGAGCGACCCTACCTCTGCTTGGAGAGTATACATGATGTTCATAAGTTAGACCTAGTTTAGCATTATAGCTCTTATAACTTAATGTCGAGCATGTAACTTTATGTACTATGAAGCTTTTGTATTTAATATGAAACGATAAGTAAAAGTTTGACCCCAGGATCTGTACAGACGAACACATAACACCATTGGGTTTTTCTAAAACGTATATACTATGACCTTTTCAAAACACCTAACACCTTCATGTGTACATGCAAAGTCGTAATGTGGTATACCACCTACGCGTTACCATTTACACAGTTGGAGCAGAAGATGTTATCATTTTATCTTTGTAGATAAATGGTTGAAACTGTTTTATGTCACCGTGATAACGATAAATCAAGTCATAATAATCTATGGATTTGTTGATCTTCGAGTAACAACAAAGAAGTTGCCATCCTGTTCAATCTGTCATGGATACTGGTGATATCAAAAGAGTTTTGTTCTGTTTGCTTTTACCACAATAAATACAAATGGTGATGGTTTCATGTGATGAGTTTGTGGTTTTTATTGCGTGTGTCAGAATGAATGGTGTGTAACACTACACTTGTCCTTCTTGTTAACAGTGCATGTTTAGCAAAGTATATGATGGAGTTCTAACCGACAACGTGCTTTCTTAGAATATGAATAGTTGGATAAAGATTCTAAAGCCACGCCAGGCCACAATGAGAATCTTGAACCTAATGGCTCTCCTCATACCCCCGGGCTCGTACTCAAGGGCGAGCCTTTGAACAATAGACCAGTTTTCGTCTAACTGTACCACACTGTCCCGTCCACGTGTTAGTCCACAGTTAGGACCACTGTTGGTACAGTTAAAGCTGTCGAGCAAGTCGTGGAAATCCTGCACCAAAGACGGCATTCCCTCTGTGGTAGTAGCAGGGTAGTGCATAGGAAAGCCTTCGACATCTTCAGTCAGGTTTCGAAGAGGACCTATGGAACGAGAATTCAAGACTTCAATTTTGCCATTGTTAGGCCATGTCGATTTGTTTATATGGATGACATCCTCTGGGAACCCCAAAAGTAATGCGAGCGTGCGAATAAAAAAAAAAGTGTTGCAAAAAAGTTGCTTTTATTACGAAATCTACGTGGTAATGAAGGTTGAACAAAAATGGAAGAGTATCGTATGGCGAATAATCTACTATTCAAATTCATTTCTTTACATTTTGTCTTTGGCATTCTACGACATTGGTATCGTTGGTATCGTTCTCCAATCTTTTTCTTGCAACCTATGGTATATAGTTGCTTATTTTGCAACAGTTTTGTACGATTTACAGTGTGGTTGAAAACTTTTTTGTGGAAACGGCCGAAAATTCATGCGCGCGTGGATGTCATCCATATAATCAAATCAACATAGCCTTATCAGAATCATCTGCACGTGTCAGTGGGGACCCCTAGCGGCACATATTATTTTTCCTCTACTGGATGCAGGTTTTCCTGCAATGATAAAGCTAGCCGTTTGGTGGCGCCTTTTTATACGACAGCATTTAGTGCTTATATCTATGCGCGGCAATAAAAGTACTATATCTATGTCCGTAAATGAAGTGTGGCCATACCAGGATTTCCGCCATATATTAATCAATTAAATACGATAAAGTAAAGATTACAAATTCAGCTACACAAAACGTTGGAGCCACGCTACATTTTGTACAGCTTTGTCTAGAAATAATTCACCAGTAATCTATTGTATATATCTATTCTAATCTTTCATGGTTCCGTAGGATAAACTGTGCCTGTTTTATGTTGTGTTCATCGTTGTCTTGATACGTATTATGATATGTGGCCCACGTTATCAGCTAGCAACTTCATAGTGTGGCCACATTGCATTGCCCTGTTGCAATTTCTATACAAGTCAAGTCAAAGTCAATAGTACTTCTAACCTTCAAGATTGTCGTCTTGGGAGAGGCTGTCCAAGTCTGGAGAAGCGAAAGCAAAGAACTGCTCCCCGTCCTCGACATCGACAGTCACTATGTGTGACACGTTGTACACCAGGTTGGTCACACGCCCCATACGGCTCCAGTGGCTGGCCATTCTACGGCGCCTGCGCGCACCGCCACTGCCGATTGGTCCGATCGGTCCTTGGAATTGAATCAAGTCTAACAAAAACCGTATAGAAGGTTAGAAAATTTACAATGAGCTAGCTGTCAAAGAGACTGTGTTATGAAAAACATCAGCCGTCACCTTAGCCTGAGTACCATCCGGATTTTCGCTACGCAACGCTCGTTGAGTAGCGAAAATCCGGATGGTACCCAGGCTACCGTCACCTGTCATCAAGGAGGTCATGTAACAAAAACACATAAAAAAGCAGCGAGCGATACCAGATGTATGGGGTCAAAACTAACCCCAGGCGTATATAAATGTGTGTCATTTTGACATTTCTTGTCGGAAACGAAATTTCTTCTATGAGTTTGTTTGTACATATGTCTTATAACTTCTCACTCGTTTTTACTGAGATTGGAACATTGCTGATTGAGTTATCCTAGAAAGTTTATGGGTGGTCCAGTGTGGTCAAACTGACCGCCGGTGTCTGACAATCTTTTGTTGTCGTCAATTTTTCTTCCATGTAATATGCTATTTGCTTGTATTTTCTGAGGGTATTTGAAAGCATATTAACTAAAAAATTATGACTTGGGACCTAGTTGCCTATGGACCTGGGTCATCGACATGGCTGGCTGAAGGCATCTTGTTTTAGATGCATAAAATATGATTATTAACACAAATTACATGTACTTCCACCTAATTACGTCAAATTGTCTCATAGATTAATTAAACTCAAATCACAAAATAGAGTCACAAGAAAGCTATTATTCGTGCTAAACATTATGGGTTAGTTTTGACCCAATACGGTAAGATTCGTGGATTGAGGGTTAATGACCTTCTTACTCTGGAGTCCAACCATATCCATTACAACGTAACCTAAGAGGCGGAAACACAGACAGACAGACAGACACACATACAGAGACATACAAAAAACAATACCTTTGTTTTTCGTGGAGGTACAAATGTCATAATTATTTCATACCAGCATCTTGTAACTCGTCCACGTCAGTTAACACGTCACTCAAGCCGAGTTCCGCTAGAGACAGGGGGAGGGAGTTGTTCAGGTTGATCAGTTCCGGCTGTAAGACCTCGTAGTTGATACATGGAGGCCGCCTGGCGTGCCCGTGTCCTGGCGGGCCGTACTTGGGCGTCACTAAACAGCCGTCTGAAACATGAGTGTGACACATATATTGTAGATGTCGCACGATACAAGGGGGTCAAGGAAATATGACCAATAGCCGCGAGCCGTATAGACGCATAAGACGCATGGCACAAGCATAGCTAATAGAAAAGGTATGATGTTTCATCTTTGATGAGGATGACGAACAACAACATCCCTCATGCAAGTGTCGCTATTTGGACGTAAAACACTCAAACTTACAAGTCAGCCACCCAAAACAATACTACTACAAATGGAAAATAGATTTGCAACACGCGATTGTGTATACAACGAATTATCACACATACTAAGGGGTATGTTGTAAATGCAAAATGAAAATAACTTAATTGTAACAGTTACTAAAGATACTAATAGTATTTGAAGCAATGACGAGCACAACTCGATTCTGAATGAATCATAGTGAAGTTTAATAGAACATACGGTACCGTCAATATTCAGTATTAGCTGCGCATTTATCATTGGAAGAAGGGCCATGAACAGGAAACAAACTCCGAACCTGTCAAGTGCAAGGAAATGTCACAAACATATAATCATTCTGAACGTGGCTCATCAACTGTCATTCGTTCGTTCTTCCTTATATCTCTGTCACATTAGAAAGGACTATCCATTTTTATTTAATCTAGATAGGAGTGGAGGTCATTAGCCTCGGGCGGCCACCGGGAGCGCGGTTTAGTCAGGCTAGTTAACGTTACCAAAGGTGCTTCAAAATTGACACTATCTACCAGAACGTTTGGGCTACCAGCGCTGCTACTCACCCCATTCTTACTCACTGTTCTTCTTATAGATGTTGATATGACGCTGGTAGGTGTTGTTGTCCTGATAAGCTGTGTTGTATTTGTTGTGTTATATGTTGTGTGTCCTGACGTGACGTTGCCGACCTGTGCCCTTTGCTTTGGGAAGCTCTTGCGTAGCTGTTTTGGGGCCAGAAAAACCTGTTGAACGACACGAGGGCACGAGGCCTAGGGCACTGACATGCGCGTGCGGTGTCAGAACACCACAGTACGTATAATAACGTTATCACTTCTACAGATCTGTAAAATCTCGAACACCCCGGGCTTTTCCACTAGAAGCAGCGACCGCTGAGCGAACATTTCACAGGTCGCTTAAAGAATTTCATGGTTAAAGAACGTGATTTTTGACGGTTTGTATGTCTTGCTGTCTTTTGCATCACATTTTTACATCGTGGATCATATTTTAAGTGTGACACAAATCCAATTTTGCTCGCCCAGCGATCGCCGTCTATTGGATAAGGGGCGCAAACGGCGATAACGACAATTGATATTGATTAAATGTCAAGTTGAACGTTCTTGATGGGAAGCAGATACAATCTAGAACCCAATTCAGGAAATACGACATAAACAGGTAGTCATTCAGCCGAAAGCAAAAAATAAAAAAACGGATTTTAGGACGTGTGACTTATTCACGAAAACTAAGCAATGGAATAGTTACATTTGGTTATGTAGGTTATGTTTTTGGTATTGATTGGATGTGTGTATTTTTGTCACAAAAATTATACTGTACGTACATGTATCTATGGTACGTTTGATGGTATACAATCTCAAAGGACAAAAGGACACTACACATCTCTACAGACACTACAACATGGTAATTTTGACTCCCATTTTATTTAATTTACAACCGTTATCAAAGTGACTTCTGTCATAAGACCACCACCTTTACATGTTTCAGAACATTGAGTTAATATGGTTAGCACCGGTACCATGGCATTTACATTCCATAACAATGAGCAATTTTGTACGTTTCTACGGACAAAATAAAACAGACAACAGAACTGAAAGCCATCCGACATATTGACCCAAGGAACAAGTACAAGCAACATAAAGATATATTTTGTTTTACATATAGTGATATATATCATGTATAACATGAGAAATAGTCAGTCGTATCACAAGAGGGGGGGGGGTACAAGGAGATATATGATTTTGCTATATAACAAGTGCTAAAAATGCATTTTGATAACGTCTAATACATATTGTTAACGGCACTCTAGGAAAGACGATTTTTCAAATTTATCATCTAGTTTTCAGCCAACACATTTTAGAAAGAGACAGTCTTAACATATTACTCAATTCTGCTGTAGGTGAGCTAAGCAAACATTCCACCCAAGTGTGCTGGTAACAAATCAATGGAT